CCCAGGCTGGCCTCGAACTCGCAACAAGCCTCCTGCCTTAGAATCCCAAGTGCTGGGATTACAGGCGTGCGCCACCAGGACCAGCTGTGATCCTTCTAAAGTACAGGTCCCGCTGCTCAGAATCCTGAGATGTGTTCTCACCTACATGGGATAAAATTCAAAGTCCTTACACCTTCACCTACAAGGTCTCGCCGAATCCACCTCTCTGACTTCACCTATTACAGATGTTCCCTGTTTAATGACCTCCCTGTTTAACAACCGCTCTGGCTTTCAGCCAAGAGGCGCTATTCAGACTTAGGAGCCGCTACTCGGATTTATGACCCGCGTTCAGACTTACGACACAGGACTGCGCAGCAGCGCCGACTTACGGCGGCTTCTACAGTGCACTGCTGCAGCTCTGCTGACTGTAGTGCACAGTACAGCACAGTAGCTCTATGCTGTTGCACTTTACAGGACTGCACGTAAGACTTACGCAAATACAAGCGAAGTCATCAAGTTGGCGTTTCCTTTGACCATTTCTTTGTTCTGAATACTCTAATACTATATACAGTTCCTCCTGTAGCGACCCATTCACTAGTCACAGGAAAGGACCTTGGTCATTAAACAAGTGTCTGCACTCACCACTCGTCTGCCACCTCCCCTGCAGCTACACACTTCTGAACTCTCTGTCCTCACTTTCTGTCCCCTGCCTAGCAACTCTTACCTCGTATACGCGCAAGGCTGGCAGCAAGCTTCATCCAAATCTCAACCCAAATGGCCCTTTCTTTTAAAAGGCCTCAGCTGGCCACTACCTAAAATAACACTCCCTTCCGCTTTATTTTTCCTATAAATGTATCATGATCTAACATATTATGTATTGAAAGCCGGGAGTGGTGGCACACGCCTGTAATCCCAGCACTCGGGAGTCTGAGGCAGGAGGATTGCTGCAAGTTCAAGACCAGCCTGGGCTACAAAGTGAGTGCAAGGCCAGCCTGAACTGCATAGTGAGACCCTGTCTCAAAAAGACAAAAAAAAATTTATGTACTGAATCTATACGATTATGTGTTCTGTGTCTTACTGTACTAGAATGTAAGCTCCATGAAAAAGCTTAGTTTTTTTATGCCCCTAGGTATTTGTAAGAGTATATGTAAACTAGTGCATTCTCAGTACAATCTGTTCAATGAATGAATAAATGAATGTAATAAAAGGCAAAAGAAAAGAAACAGCTAAGGTCCTCTGAGGTACGATTGATCGCATCAGCAGGAACCTCTCACCTGCTCCAGGTTGGCGTAGGTGACACGACAGTAGCTGCAGTAGCCTTTGCCACTATGCATCGTGACTAAACAAGGACAGACAGCGGCTGTCCTCCAGCAATCACACTGCAAAAAAGGAACAGGAACCAAGAGCTCAGTGACTCCTTCCTGCTACGGGAAAGATGGCTCAGAAATTCGTTCCTATTTGTAACAGCAGTTACAAAGACACCAAAAACAGCCATGCATTTCTCCATCCATCAGCAAGCCTGGAGACATTTATAATCGGGTCTCTGCTCGGACAGCAAATGTTAGCAGTATTTGGAAAATTAAAGAACTCTGTTTCTCACCGGTTTTCTAACAACCTGCTAGAGTTGTTAGCAATTGACTCAGTAATGAAGAATATAGTACTCAATTTTTAAAGGCTAATTACTACTTTTAAGATATTACTATTGTATGTTTAGTATCCTTTTACGGAGCTCTTTAATTTTCCTATGTTTCTGTGCAAAACTAAAGGTTATCTGAATTCTCAGTGTCACCGACAACAATATCAAATTCTCTATCGCAAGAGTAAAGTTTTCACGTGACAGCACCTGCTCAGCTCACAAGAGCCAGACTTTGGACCACAGTGGTGCCTCAGTACACAAACTTAACTCTTTCTATGATTCTGATCACAAACTGAATCAAAGATCTGAATCAAATTCAACGGTTAGGTTCAATGTCAGTCTTGTGGGGAAATTTGATTCACTTCTTGTCCAATCTGGTCTGTGACTAGAAACATGGAAAGAATTAAATTCATGAACGGAAGCGTCAAAAAGTTGCTAAAACTCTGATTAACAACTAAATCAGTCTCTGGAAACACCAACTATTACTCTCCCAACAACCACATAAACCACATAAATATTAGGAATTTTTTCGGACTAGTGTGCTGAAATTTCTTGATAAATAGTTTCCTATCACCTAAAACCATAATCCTTCAACATTACATTCTGCAGAGTTTCAAACGAGGCAGAATGCCAACATCACTCCAAAACATTCTGAGTTCATAGAACTGAGTTAGCGCCTAGGATTCAGAATTTCAAAACTTTCCAAAGCAATTTTGATTAACTGATACAATTTTTATTAACTGACATAATAAACATTTTTTAAATGACATCATAAACATTGTGTGTATGTGTATATACATATATATACTTTATATATATGTATTATATATACATATAATTAAGTGAAAAAATTCATTCAATGTAGTTTCCTTACTGGTTTGTTAAAATGAAAATAGAACTGAAAATAATTTTGTCAGGTTTTGAATTCTAATAATTTAAATAATCTTGTCAGTTAGAAAACATGAATCATTCTATAATGTGTAATGAGTCCTTCCATTTTTTTTTTTTTTTTTTTTTTTTTTTGCAACTGTAACGGCTTTATTTCTAAAGGCGGAGCAATGAGTCCTTCTAAATGAGATTATTCTGCAACAGACAAAGGTTTTCTCTATTTCTTTTTCTTTGAGACAGAATCTCAGTATGCAGTTAAGGCTGACCTTAACCTCACTATGTAGCCGAGGCTAGCCTCGAACTCACAGCAATTCTCCTGCCTCAGCGTCTGGAATGCTGGGATTACAGGTATGTGTGACCATAGCAGGTTTAAAAGTTTAAGTATTAAAATCAATCTGAAAACTGAAATGACGCTTAAAACTAGTAAGATGAGAATACAAAACCTTCAAGTCCAAACTACAAAGTAACATTCACTTACCAACGAGTTTATTGAGAACATTTGTCTTTTTGACTTCCCACATTTATGGGGAAAATTAATTAAACCAGCATTTAAAATAATGTACACAAGATTATTTTAAAGGCAGTCTTTCTTCCACTAAATTGCTACATGTATTAATCTGAAGCAACAAAATAAAACAGAATTTACATGCTATCTTTATAAATAGGGTAATTTTTTAGACTAAGAGAATCCTAGGGCTTAAACCCAAATTTTGAAAATCATAAAATAACAAACTTTTCAACAATATTTTGAAAATGTAATGAAAACATGGAATGAAAGGTGAAATAAAACTGAACTAAGCCAGGTGTGGTGGCACATGGCTGTAATCCCAGCACTCAGGAGGCAGAGGCAGCAGGAGGACCGCCGCGAGTTCGAGGCCAGCCTGGGCTACACAGGGAGATCCTGTCTCAAAAAAGAAAAAAATCTAATCTCACACACACAAAAATTGAACACTAACCCTTAGGGCGTTTAAACCCTAAGGTATGATTATCTATTTAGATCACCTCTTCTGTTGCAAGGGCAGTGAGTTACAAGGAATCAGAAGTACATATTGGTATTTTTTAAAATTCACATTTCAGAACCCCATCGAAAATTTACCAAATCAAATTCCCCTGGGGTGGGGGACAAAACCCAGACACATGCATATTATGCATTGTGTAAAACGTTCCAAGGGATTCTAAGCTGATCCCATAACCTAAGTTATCATTTTTAATGAATAATAAAATTCTTACCTATTAAAAGGATCACTTCTTCATGGTCAGGGATTATATTACTTTGCCTGACCTTTTGCAAATTTTCAATTCCATTACGACCCGATATTTTTTACAAAGTAACAAATGATTTACCTTGAGCAGAAAAGGGCAGGTACTTCGTCAGCTGTGTGAGCTCCCACAAACATCTGCAAATTAAAATAAAACAATGTTTTAAAAAAAAAGATAAGTCATGCAAGTACCTACCATTAATCAAACAAATAGCTTCATATTAAAATTTGAAAAGTAACACAATTATGCTTTCAGTAATGGAAAATAGTGACTTTAGAACACAAAGCAAGTTATATATTATACTATGACTCACTTAATATTAAAATGCAACCTCCTAACTACGGTGCTGTATTCTGGAGCACAGTGGCTCTGCCGGCCCTTCTAATCCACCGTCAGACGCTTTGGATTTCTGGGTTCCAGGAGCAACTGCTGTGAAAGAATATAAGGCACAACTGTTTCTCTGATAAAATGAAGGACAAAAATGTTATCAAATGCAAAATAAGCTTCATGAGAAACTCTTAAAAGGAATATATGTGTGAGAGTAAAGTTTGGGTCCTGGACTAACAACCCAAACTCTCAAGCTATTGTATTAATTTTAATAAAAAAATATTGCCCATTCTTTACCATCCACCTGTATCAATGAACAATTACACAGAAGATCAGTGGGGTTTTTTCCCCCTGCTCCACATTGTTACGGATGAAATGTTTTCCTAGGATCATTGGTTGGAAAAATTTCTAATACTTGGGCTCAAAAGAACCAGTGACACAATTTTTTAATTGCAGTGTAATTTTTCAGCACCTCCTCTGTGCAGAGTTCTGCACTAGGAGATTTAAGGGACTGACACAAAGATGAAACAAGCTTTTCTTGCCATCTAGAAGTTTAAAATGGACCTGGAAAATGAACGCAAAGGTATGACGTAGAATCTGAGAAACACGTAAAAAAAAACAGTGTGGAGTTGAGGTTCAGTGGGCACTTGCCTAGCATGCATGAGGCTCTGGATTTGATCCTCAGCACTGCAATAACAATAATAATAATAACAATAATAATAATAGCTAATGGGTTCATTTGTAAAGTTCCGTTTTAGCTGGAGCATCCAGACATCAAAGTAGATATGGTTTTCATTTTGGGTTTGACCTTAGGTATTGAACCCAGGGTCTTTGCACTGAGCTACACCCCTAACCCATTTTTAATTTTTTTTTTTATTTTGAGACTTAGTGATTTTGCTAAACCCTAAGTTGCAAAGGCTGAGCTCAGATCGTGCCTCAGCCTCCCAGGGTACTGGGATTACAAGGGTGAGCCACCATGCCCCCCAGTGGATATGGTTTTTAAACCAGGTTTTAGAAAAAGGGATTTGCTTACACAAATGTCAGGAAAGATAGTCTAAGAAAAAACAAACACAGGCTCAAAAGCAAGAAAATCTGGACATGGTAAATGTACAAGTTCAGTTGAATTTAACATTTCATTTAAGAATTTAAGGGGTAATAAAGCGGGGAAGGCAGACTGAGTGTTGACATAGCAGGATCCAAAAGCACACTCAGGAATTCAGATGTCTAAATCGGAATTGGTTTTTGGAAATAGGTATACTCAAAGAGTGCTTTAAGAAAATTCTGGAACAATGGTTTCCTCCTGCTCAAAGGAGATTTTTCAAAGGGCAAGGACTATAATTGTGAAACCACTCACCACCATTTCCTAGTATCCTAGCAAATTGGTTAAGACTTAAAACACCCAAATTCAATCAGTCAGTATCCTTTAAAGCAAAGCCTCATTTGAAAAAGGAAAATACACATTTTAATTTTTTAAATTGTTTTAATTTTAAGTAACTCATTATAAAAATAAAGCACAGTTATAGTACGATTATGAAAACAAAGAAATAAGGAGTGTGAATAGCCATAACCCTACCAGCCATCATTAATATCTACCATTGTTCTAAATGTCCTCTTATAAAAATGGAGGAGGACTGCATGCACCATTCTATTCCAGTTCCTCTCACTGTCTGTGAAGTATATGGCATCATCTATAATTCCAAACCCATATGCTTAATAATCACACAATTTTTGCATCTTGTCAGGATAAGGTAAAATCTCTCTTATTTGTTCAGAGCCAGTTAGTGATTCAATAATTTTAAAATTATACACACATAACCTTAATATTTTAATTTAAAACATGTACTATCTATATATATTTAAGATCAAAATGGGCTTTTTTTCTTTATTGCTTAAGGCTTTTGTTTGGATTTTTTGTGAACAGATTACCTAGAGTTCCAAATCATGTTTTTCATAACCACACCATAATTCGTCCTCAGCGTTTTAATTTTTATTACTCTAAAGCAGAAAAAGAGCCTAAAGACATTTTCAAATCTGAAAGCAAATTTATGATTATTGTTTAAGATGTTCTTTTCCCCAAACCCTCACAATTGTCACACCCAGTTAAAAATGAAAGCCCCCCCCCTTTTTTTTAAGGCCAAAGCATTACATTTATTTTTCTTAAAAATTGTAAAGCTATTTTTTAGAAATTTTTTTAGAAATGCTAACTGATAATGTCAATGCTAA